TTCGATAAGTAATAAGGGTATCTTTATTTTGAAATCTGTGCTAAAGTGCGATAGCATTTTCTCGCTTATTGCTAATTCAGAGGCTTGGTATTACCCTTGTGTTTTGTTTTGGTAAAAATTGTTTAAATCTTCAGTTAGCTGAGATTCTTCACGTTAATCTGGTGCTACACATTAATAGTCTCATAAATGTTAAGAAGCCCTGAGACACAGTCTCGAAAGAAAACTGTGGGGGGGGGGGGTCCACTGGGGGGACCGCCGTGCTTAAGAGGTTAAAACGATAACAACGCTGCTGAAGGTTAATCCAATGTGTCTGTGTTACTTTTAAATGATTACTCATAATCCATCATTCCATTTTTATGTCAAAAACTGAGATTATTAATTTACCCCTTTTAGAAGTTATAGTCATTTGTTCTGGGAATGTCATTTTCGAGCCTGAGACCTGAAAAACAGGCTCAGGGCTTAACAGGTTAAGCAAAAAACTTCACAGACATGTTTAGTATAGGTATGGCCCTACAATATATTTTTCAAATATAGCATAATGGGTCCACTTTAAGTTAGAGTAGTTGCAATTATTTTACACACATTTCCATTTGTTTAACCTTTCATAAATACCAATTTCCAGAGGATTTGAACCCAACAAATACATGGAGAAAAAAGAGGAAAAACCAGCTGAGGCCTCAAGGGAGTCAAAATCCCAAAGTCACATTCTATAACACAATATGAAAAGTCATTCAGAAGTATCAGATATGAGCAGTAACTCAACGCCTGCAGTGTGAGTTGAGCCTCTTCGGCTGGGATATTAAATCTTCTTTTCACTGGCAGCTAAATGGATGAGTTTGGAGACCCTCACAGCAAACTGTGGACATTCACATTGGTATAGGGTAAAGGAATCAGAAATAATACAAGCCTCAGTGTCCTGTTGTCAAAGGCTGGCTGTAATTATACTTTACATGGATTTACCTCTTAGTGTTTGTTACTGAGGCAATAATAATAATCCAACTCACAAGTTTATCATTACTTTGAGAAAAAAGATTATTAATTTTCCCCTTTTAGAAGTGTATTTATGGTCATTTGTTCTGGAAATGTCATTTTCAAGCCTGAGACCTGAAAAATATTCTTGGGGTCTAGCAGGTTAAATGTTCCGTTTTGAAGCACCTGATGAATGCTTTCTTTTTGACGGCACCATAATCCCATCATCAACAGACAGAGGCAACACACTTGCATATGAATCTGCCAATCAGATCAATCTTTTGCTGAAGAGGGGGGGCCTCCCCGAAATCTGTGAGATTGATTGGTTTTATGATCACTGGCACGTAATGAGTCCAATGAGAACGTTAACACGTTTTATAGCGTTATAACAAATATTTGTTTAGCGAAGACGGAGGTCAGTTCTATTTCGTATAGGCTTCGCCCTCTAACGGCCCGTCTACACTACAGGCATCGAAAAATGCTTTCAACGCTTCGCCCATTCACTTGAATGGGGTGACGAAGAAGATTTTTAATCTTCGCCGAACTGCATTGTGGGGAGCATGGCATGGCTTTGCAAGCATCACGAGCATCTATCGGCATAATGTTCAACTTTTGAGGCTCGATGCTTGGCATCAGTCAATCAAATCCCGTTTATGCAAATCCCGCCAGTGCAAGCGCTAGCCAATCAAACCGCGTGCAAGCTGGGAGAGCCAGACCGCAGTTCATTTCCTCATATTCCAAACAAGATATTACGGTAGCAAATCACCCGGTTCTTTACGACCAGAACTATTTACCGGGATACAAACCGGAGGAACCAGGCATGGAGGGAGGTGGCAGAGACAGTGGGTGAAACTGGTAGGTTTTTCGCCTGTTTGGAGAGTTTATATCGTTTATATCGTTTACTTCGTTTTAACATTGCTATTGCTTTGTATGTCGGGGGCGGGAGATTCATGTGATTGGTTGTTGGTCGCGTTGCTCGCAAAAAATCGCCAAGCTTCAGACACGCCCAGCTTCAAGATTTTTTGATGCCTGTAGTGTAGACGGGCCGTAAGGATTGCACTACTGCTTTTTGCAGATGATGTGGTTCTAATGGCTTCATCGGTCTGCGACCCTTATCACCCACACACAGATGGTTAACCGTTTTAAGGGTACAGAAATGTATGATTCATAAGGAATCTAAAATATTATCATTTATCATCATCAGAAGTGTGTGGGAGTAGAAACTCCCTCTGGAGGGAAGACAGGGATGTTAGCCTTTGCAGACCTTTTACATGCACAGAAACCTATAGAACACACTACAGGAAAGGTAACCCACTTTAAAAGGACTATTTTCTTTCTATTGTATCACTGCTTCTAATTATGGAAGCTTGTGACATCGCAAGACATTTTATGTATCAACTTGTCCAGGAGTAGATGCAGCNACCAACACTATACATTGAAGGGGGTAGCAATAAAGATAACACCATTAAACAGTTAAATAACATAACAGAAATAATATCGATACCAGCGTCCCTAGCAACCACCTTGGTAACAATGAAAACGTTGTGGACACAATTTCCTGAAGTAATCTTCGTAATAACTAGCAAACTAAAGATCATGTACATCCACTGCACACATAATCTGAAATAACAACTCATATTTCTCGCATCAAATGACTTCAAAACGCATTTTAATGGCCAAACTAACTTTAAAATAGGCATTTTCCACCGAGAATAAAACGAAGTTCGGCCATGTTTTTTTTCTTCTGCAGGGAGAAATTTGAAGATCACGTGACATAGACGCCAGCCATTGGAATGAATGGAATGCAGTTGGAGGTCAACCAATCACAGAGCTTGATAACTGATCACGGGGCTTGTCAGACAGAGCACCTGGTGTAGTCCTAAACGATAGCTGGGGATTCTGGGTAGTGTAGTGTCTTCTGCCATCCTTTACTCCGAAAAAAACATTTGTTTTGTAAAATTTCACTTGTTTTGCATCAATCTTGATACAGGGTGCTTATTATATGTTGTACTTTGGATTCCTAAAGCTTTTAGTCTACCTAACCATCATCCAAGGGTAGTTTTCACTATAAGTAAAACATCTTTGTGGACTGACACTATAATTTACAGTGTTTTGCTATGTTCAATCTGAATTTTCTTTAAAATAAAAAACATCTATATTGATTATGACTTTTCTACATCCAACTCACAGGTTTATCATTACTTTGAGAAAAAAGATTATTAATTTTCCCCTTTTAGAAGTGTATTTATGGTCATTTGTTCTGGAAATGTCATTTTCGAGACTGAGACCTGAAAAACAGGCCCATTGCTTAACAGGTTAATAATAATTGTAATCTCCCAGTTATAAACGACATGAATCAAAGATGTGTTGCTGTATTTTAGTGGCAGGAGCTCCAACAAGGCGTGTAGGACAGAGTGAATACATATAGTATACACAGAGATGCTGTATGAGAAACCAATGTGATTTTGGAACATTGAACAATGTAAATGTATTCTAGGAGACCTCAACAATGGAATTATGATCAGTAGAAATGGTCAAGACATTTAAGGAGAGCTCACGAGTGTTTTAGCTGAACTCATACATATTATAGCTAGACTTTAAAGACCATAGGACAAAGACCCTGTCTGTGAAAGAGGTTTTACTTTCAACAAGACTTACACCTCTCCAAGAAAACAAACCCATATAAAACAGGTTTACTTGTCTACATGTTTGGGTTTTGAGCAAAATGCATATTTTAACTGGCTTTATCCTCATGATTGATATGCAAACTTTCTGATGAATGGACATGAATCAAATTCAAAGACAATCCGTCTAATATTGTTGAGATACTTAACTCAAATCTACAATTGAAGGGTCACTTCCATGTGCCTTGTTTGGCTCCCTCAAATATGGGCCTTTTGGTTCCAGACTATAAATGAAGGGATCGCCAAAGTCATGGGGTATATAGTCTTGAAACCATGAATGTCTACAAAATGTTTGACAATCTTTCTAGTAGAAAGGTATTTTTTAGATACAGTAAAGGGAAGACTTTGACTTTCTGGTAGCATCAAAGGAAAAGTCATTCTGATTCATCCTCTGCGGACTACAAATGGTGCTACCAAGTTATATAGATATTCTTCAATAGTTGCAGAGATATCTCAGGCTGGACCAAGGAAGTAGACTTACTGACAATTCCATTAATATACTTTAGGACGAGTCAAAGAATATGTCTGTGATAATTGGCAGCAAAATACTTAAATAGTTTCCTCTGCTACTGGTGCAAATACTGCGTGCAAAGTCATATCATTTTCAGCAGTCTATTCAACATCATATGAAAAAAAACAAATGCCTTCAGAGGTGTACAGCCAGGAATTGGAGCACATTGCCTTTGTCGCGTGACTTCACACCCCAACAAACCACCAAGATTCCCTATTTCATTGTTTGTCAAGATAAGTGAGGCACACCTGTGTTATGAGAAGAAGAACCAAACCGGACCAGACAGGTCAGGAAGCCTCGGTGCATTCCAGTGCAATAAGGACATCTGGGCACTGTGGTGAGCTCCGATAATCGGAGCAGACCTTCAATGTACACATGTGAGAAACATCACAAGGCAGACTGCTTCGCTCTAAGGGAAGGGCTTTTTGGTTGTCAGCAGGGTCTGAATTGTGGGGGCGGCTGTAATCGAAACACACCAGCCATATGTAGACACTGTGCTACCCTTTCCATATGGGATTATTTACACGTCTTCTTTGTTGTTCAAGGATCAAAGAGAAGGAGATCCATATGAGTTGATTTTATGACACATTTTTGCAAATTTGCAGGGGGGAACTTTAAATGCCCTGTAAAACCTGTTCCACAGCATGCAAGACCACCCCATTAAGTCTGCTATCCCACATGAATATAAAGGAAATCTGATTTACCGTATGCTGTAGACGCTGCTACAGAGTGTGAAGGGAATGTGTGTTACTGGAAAGGCGGTGGATGTTAAAGATCCACTTGAAGTACATTCTACATCTACTTCGGAAAATAAAGAAGCTGCACAGGAATCAAAACAAAAGCAGAACACCATACATTTATTGTGGAAAAAAAGCAACATTGTGAAGGAAAAAAGTCTATTCTGGCACATTGTTCATCTTTATATTACAAAAAGGAGGAAAAGGCTACAAATCTCGATAATTTATACAAATACGACATCTTTCAAAAATAAATCTATAATTTAGTAAACGCTCTGTGAACAAGTTTCTGCAATAACCCACCGCTTGAGATCCCTGAGCAGAGACACAGAGTGAAATTTTTTTTTTCCCTTTACATCTTCACTCAAGCAGCTGTTCATAAACACTTTATATACACAGGAGAACTGAGTGAGCTCTTTGACTAAAGGATATGTGAGGTGTGGGGGCGGGAATGAGTGTGAATCGTGATTATCTTCATAAACATATCACTAGTGACCATCACAGTCAATTACAGAGCAGTGTTGACACCATTGTGACTGTAAGTGACATTTATGTAACACATAGATCTAGATGTTATTTGTATCCACCAATAATGAGTCACTCAACTGTAATTGGAACTTTTACCCAATCAATAATCACAAACGTCACATCTGCTATCTTCCTTTTACATGTAAAAAACACAGTGCCAGCTGGTTCTGTTGCTAAGGTAACACAAAGCAATAACTTACTATGTATAAACTAAGGACACAGATATTTGTTGAGGTGTGTGGCCAATAACAAACAAATAATCACAAATACTGTACATAGTCTTACTTTCCGCAAGGTGCCGTCTCACTTGATGTATGCTGATAAACAAACAAACAAATAGATGTTAATTACACATAATATATACAAAAGGAGACCTTAAGACTGAGTTTTGAAAAAATGGGAAATACTTCATGTAACCAGAAGCTCAGATTCCGAGCTTCCACTTTATGTTTGGCTACTTTTTTGCTGCAGGATTTTCTGTATACTGTACACAATGCAGGAATATATTAGGATTCATTTATACAAAACACAATGTAATTAGTTTTATTCCAACAAAAACATAGGCGTTAAAAGATGTTGTCAGACGTGAAATGTCTGAGCATTGCTCTATGATGAATCTCTCAATGAAGGTTTGCACCGGCATTGCTTTTGTATTTGGTTAGAAGAACTTGAATTCAGTTTCAGTTCTGCACACCGGAAAAAGTTTCAGGCGTGTGGTTATAGATTTACCTAAAACTATTGCCTCTTTGTTATTTCCATTCCTAGCTTCATACTGCTGTCATCAAACAAGTTAGCATTCTAACTTGGCTCCCTTGCCAGTACAGAAGAATAAGCAGTAGAATTAAAAATGCCACCGAATGCTACTTAATGCCAGAGGAGATTCAAACCTTTTTTTATTCATTAAGGCATTACAATTTGAAAGGAGTCCCAATTCCTTTGCTTTTGAATTTTCCTGCCAAAACATACAGTACTGTATTTGACAAAGTCCAGCCTTTGTGAGGTTTTTCAAGGCTACCGTTGTGCTGCAATGGCTAAGAAATAAAAAATCCCTTTTTCAAGTTTTCACCAAATAATAGGACATCCTCAACAAATGGTTTGGAGTGATTTTGCTACTTTAATACCTTCAAGAGAAACTTACTGTATAACCAATTGAGGATAGAATTTTAGTTTTTTGTGACTTCATATGGTGATTTTGGATGGTGTCCAAATTCTTTATCTAAATATAGATGGTAAAAGCAGTGTGCTGAGATTGTTATGTTATCTCACACTGCTTTGAGACAATATTCCCAGCCCTTTAAACTGCAACTGGTTATTTAAAAAACCCTTATTCATCACAAATGTTGAAGGATGTACCTACTTTAACTTCAAGTTCAAGTGCTCTGGTTATAAAGTATAAGAGAAAACAAACAAACACACACGTGGTTCCTGTGAAAGAACTCAATTTGAGAAAGTTCTAGAGTCCAAACACCATGTATTGCCGGCCAAACTGTGAGCAATGCTTCTGAGGAGAGCCACTGGCCTGAGGTGTACGCAGAGCTCAGGAGTTATTAGGAGGGCTGGGCGCCACAGTCATGGCCTCTCTGAGCCAACTTCCTCCCTGAGTCTATTCTGTCTTTCCTGGATGAACAGAGCGAATAAGGATCATGTAGGCTGTCCTTTCCCCCAGGTCTGGCGTGCAGATGGCAGGTGGGCTGGCAGGGGGAGCTCAGGGGCTCATGGTCCTCAGGCCTTGTTTCTCCATTATGTTCCACAGCTTACGCAAGTTGGACTGGGTGATGGTGTCATCCGGTTTCAGTTCAAGTGCTCGGAGGTAATTGGCTTCAGCCTGTTGCAGCTTTCCGTTGAGGTGGAGGATCGCCCCCAGGTTCATCAAGGCAGCAGGATACTGAAACCAAAAATAAGCCATTTTAGGACACATAAGAGTAGCCTAAAGCTTTGTTCCCAAGTTACACTTTTGGTTTCCAGGACACCTTCCATGTTATTGAGACATAGGTTCAGTTACTATAAACACAGTGAGTCAGCTGCTAAGACATAGCAAGAGTAAGCTGACTGGAATTTAATCATCACTAACTGTCTGTTTAGAGTTGACTTTTGCATTTAATATCAGAGGCTTTGAGTTGATGAGATGAATAATACTAATTAAGTCTAACTAATCACACTTTGTGGGTATACATAGCTCAACAGGGAACTTGATATGACCAGAATCGTTTAATATACAATGAATTGTTGTCTGGGCACTGGGATCCTAACAGACAAACATTAAACAGATGTTACTTCTTTAAACAGTTTAAAATATAAATCTTATTAAATGAAAACAAGGAAGATGACACAGTGGATGACTCCATCAAGTTATAGAATAAACAGTTATCGTTTTCCTTTTAAATCACCCTAAAAGAATGATTGGTCATCCTGTGACACTATAGAGCAGACCCTAGCACGTCATTTGTTCCCGTTTGTCTGATCGCACAGAATGTGGTGCAGTGTTTGGAGTTTGGTAACCATAACTTGCGTGTCACTGTGTCTTGTCTGTGGCCACATATGTCACCAGGACCAACAAGTGCTTTGAAGTGGGCATAGATGAATATACTGTAAATAACCAGTGGTGCCAAGGGGCAGTGCGACGGGCGGGTGAGTCATGAGGACATAAGTACAGGAAGAGTATCCAGGGTGCAATCACGGTAAGACTGTGAAGGATCCAAGCCAAGGGAGGGGCCACATCTGATCTCCATTTTAGTTAGAAGTGTGGAAAAGATGTCAAATTCCGTCGCAAAGCTACTGTTTTACTGCTCGAGACTATTGTGATTTTGGTGATTGCTTTCCTAGGAAACAAGGAATGTTCAAATAAAACAGGCTTAGTTTAAATGACCAATCATGTGCTTTTATTGCCTTGTTTGTGACTTTTTCTCATAAAATTATCACCTCATACGTCTCTGTCACATGGAATGGCACATGATTATAGCATCTTGACATTTACTATACCACAAGCCTAAACCTTAATTTATTCTCTTGGCCTTTAACTTATCAAGATTAATTCCAAGAGAAACGCTCTTGAATGAGAGAATAGTGCTTTTCTATAAATGTTATGAGAAATCTGTGGTATGTTCTGAGAAATGTGAACCATTCACAACAACAGCAGTGCTGCAGTAAAACCGTTATGACTTCCTGATAAGACTATATAGCTGTACTGTGCTGAGAGAGTAATGGTAATCTGACATGATGGTTGTTGGTTGGGCAGGCCTTTTATAAAAAGGCCAAATTAAACCATTTCATTTGCTGAGGCAACAGGCAGAAAAGTGAAAAGACTAACAAAATGATTGGAGCTTGTATTAGTGTACCAGATGTGATGGCAATCCATTTGATAGTTGTCAAGACATTCAACGTCTGGAGCTAGATAACAAGTCAAGGGATCAGTAGACATTAGGAAACATCTTACCAAATGTTGTGCCTATCCTCCATACATTACAAGTTGCAACATTTCAAAGAGGAGCAGGACATTTTTAGCCTTAGGGGCACTAGCACTACAGAAAGTGAATGGTTACTACAAAGCTTCATTTCATGGCATTCTATTGCCATCAAGACATTTAACTAAAACAGGAAAGTGTAAACCTTGTATTGGCACTTCGAAAAAGTAAAGAGATCACCAAAGTTGGTAGGATGTATCCTCTGAGGACTATGAATATTTGAAAAGAATATCGTGGCAATCACTCCAATAATTGCTGAGGTATTTTTGAAAAAAGTTAAAAATGCAACTGCTTGACTGATAAATACATATTCAGAGACTACTAGTCATGTATTTTTCTTTACAAATCAATATATGATGAATAAACTACTAACATATCTGAACAATTCAAATCATGTTTTTTTGCAAAAACAAGGAAATGCAATCCTCACGACAAACAACCACGTTTGGTCATTTGAAGGTAAACACGTTTTAGAATCCTAAGAGTAGGTATATCATGGTGAGTTCAAGTTTAGATTCTGCATATCAATGGTTAAGTTATCCATGTATTGAGAATTCCTTTCAGATAGGTAACCAAACACAGTCGGAGAGTTTATGGCCATTTATCTTTCCCTGTCCGCACTGTAGGTTGTGTGAACTGCCCTCCACTCAACTCTTGTCTCACAAAACTCTCAAAACATCGCTGTGTTTTTCCAGTGTCAAGCTTGGATGAGTGATACTCCATGCATGAGAATTTCAATGGGAACAATATGTCCAATAGCATAACTTTTCTCATAGGGAGAATTACATTGGCGAATAAATCAAAGAGACTCTGTAATAATTCTGTTTCTCCTTAGAGAGGAGCCACTTTTCCCCACTACACATATAAAACATGCTTCACATGCCTTGGCCAAAGTAAAGGCATGACCAACACTTCTACGGCTGCTTACTGACTGCAAATATGCACCATTAAAGTTAGCAGATACCCATTCCCTACACTCGCTTTATATTGTGTAATTACATTAATCCCTATAGCAAAACACCAGTTTCTCTCTGTGCAACAATTAATGTCCAGAGGAGCAGCCAGAGCTCTTGACTTTAATGGTCGGGGTAATTCTGAGGCTGTTTGCGCAGTAAATTACCTTCTGTTTGACCCACCGCTTGAAGGTCAAACCACAAAATAAAGCAGGGGGATCAATTTGCAAGTTAGGGGATTTTAACCACACAGAATAGAGCTAGCCAACGTATATAACTGTTTATACATATGGACATGGTTGGAAGTGACAGTGAAGGGGCCACACACAGAGACTGTACCCACAACATCTAGGTGAAAAGTGGGTGTATATGTGCAAATTGGTGTTAAGGCCATTTTGTGGTGTTGGTGAGGATCGAGTGAATTGCAATTATTCCAAAACCTCAATCAAGGGCGCAGGTTTGGGTTCAGAAGTCGTGGGACATTATGATTAATTCATTGTTGATCATAATACATTAAGATAAAAAATAATCTTAATATTACAACGCATTCCCCAGCCTATATTTGTTTTGATTTATTTTGTGTAAATATTCCTATATTGATATACTATTACATTATTTAAAAAATGTTGGACAGAAAATCGAAAATGTAAACTACCTTGGAACTCAATAACTGATTTATATATTTTAAGGAGCTCTGTCTTTTACTGCATTATCTTTCATTTTGAAGTCTTTTTAGTATAAATATTTATAAAGCACATTTGTTTTTACCCACAATGTAGAATTAGTTGTGGGAATATTTCCAGGCTGACAAATGTCTGCAGTAATTTACACAGGCTGCATTTGGCCCAAGCATTAACCAAGAAGGTAGGACAGCTTGCAATTTGCCTGAGATGCCAAATCCAGGGCAAAGGAAGTCTGAAAACCACTCGCTACTGCTTATAAGCTTCAATGCTGTGAGCGCAATCAAGTGCCTCTAAGTTGACATTTTTAAATTCAGTTTTTCCCTATCTGGATTTGGCGGTTGTACAGTAAGAAAATTCAATTTGAATTCAGGGGAACATGGCTCCGTGGAAACCACGCCCTTGGCCTCAGTCACTTCCTAAGATGTCAGTTCACAAGGCAATATGACTCAGAATAAATGTTAATGAAAGTATGCTATAGGTCAACTAATATCTTGCTTGCCATGGGGGGGAAATCGCAATGACGATTCAAGCTTTTACTATTATGTATTTTAGGTGACAACAACATAGTAAAAGTGTTTTCACATAATACAAATAATTTACATTTTTAATTTTGATGGAAAGGACCATGGGGAGCACACATTTTCCTTTTTTTTAAATTTATTTTTGCCTAAAGAGTCTGTCCAAGTTCCAGAATATAGTAGGTTTCATATTGATGAGATGTTGGCAGGTATGTGTTACCACAATCCTTTGTAGAAAATCTATTGCTTTTCCCCTTAGTGAAGCTCAAAATATATTTTCTTCTCGGCCCATGTAGGACTTATCAATTCCCGAGTTAAGTTTCCAACTTCCACTCTCCCTAGAGGCTCCCACCTTTCTCCCCTATTTCTTATATATCCAAGACTTTTGTGATTTATAACCCTCCTCTTGCATTCTTCCTCACCCTTGCCACACTTGCAGCACTCTGCAAAATGTTCCCTTGTCTAAAGCTTTCATTTTTTCCTCATTTCCTGCTGCTCTGCAACCTCTCTGCCTGAGTACCCTTCCTAAAACTGGCATGAAGCAGCAGAGGCCTGGCCAGATGTGGAGCATATTAGCCTAGACCGTAAAGCAACATATGCTTTAAAGGCTGGGAGAGTAAAAAGGTTGTGGAATGACCTGACCATAATGACTTTAGATTGGCATGTAGGTTAAGAATATCCAAAAGGAATGGGAGAAGGGCGGGTGTCATAGGGTGCAGAGAACGACAAAGAAAAGCAGACTTCCTCTGGGATTTAGCTCGTCTAGATAGAAGGAATTGTAGGGCTAAGGGACTAAACCCTTTCAATGGAGGGAATTGTCCTCTCTTACTATGAGAGAGCAAACATATGTGCTTAATATAAAACACCAGTGCCTTTGGAGAGTGAACACTAAAGCCGCAGTAAAGCATGACACGACAAATGAAGATGGACAGGGTACATGGCTTGAGTCAAGTCGCATCGGAAAGAACAAAGGATAATGGTAAGAAAGATGGATGAAGATGCTAAATTATAATTGCGCCTCAGCTGTAAACAATACGAATGGCAAACGGCATCCAAGCAAGAGGGACCAAGTAGGGGCGAAAAAAAGAGCCTCTGTATTTGGATGTGGACATCGAATGCGTGTTTGTACGATGACATGTAGAAATGACATGGATCTGGCTCTGTAAAGAACTTTAAGGAACACAAAGATCCTCAGTTTATTTTTATAAAAGTATATTAGGGGGAGGGGCACTCCTCGCAATAACGCCCACTGTCTGTGTGTCCAGCAATAGTGTAAGCCCAGATTGGTGACCTAAGTTTATGCTGCCTCTCGCCCATTGACTGCTACGACCCTTACAGAAAAGCGGGGAATGGAAAATGAATGGATGACAAAAGCATAAGAAAACAAGACTATATCTTAAGTTGTTGGAAGAACACCCACATCATTTAAGATCTCAAAACCTTTATTTATAAACAGAAAATAATAATGAGAAGTGTTCATATTACATTATGAGGAGTACATGTAACTTTTAAAGGAGAATTTGAGGAACAACTTCCGTAACCTCTATGGATGTCTTGCATTATTTATGTATGATATGAACTATAGCAATAGAAAAACAATATGCTCCCTACATCTGGGCTTAATTTGATTTAAAAAATTTAAAAAAGTTGAACTCCACATTGGAACTGAAAACACACAGCTCAGTTTCATGGTTTCTGTGTAAATCCCACATTTTATCCTTTTGTTATACACACGTTTTTGTTAGTCAGTGTTTGTATATATTATACTGGAGCTTGTGTGCTAGCATAACCAAACTGTATTGTCTGTATAACAGTGTCCAGATATATTTTGATAATTAATCCTGAAATGATTCCTTCTAATCAAGACGCAGGAACAAACAGGGTGACCACATGGAAAACATATTTTTCTCCCTACGTGGCTCTCACTTAAACAACTCTACCCCTCCTGCCAAAGCTCTCAAAGACTGAACCCCATTCATTTTCAAGATGTCAGAGTCCCCTGACAGAGTGTTGTTATCATTATTCTTTTCAATCTACTTACCCTGTCCTGTCCTTTGAAGCCAGTGATGGATGCTATACAAACAAACCTCTGAACTTAGTGAAAACCTAGCCCTCATTTTTCTGGGACCCACTGACAATGAAGACCGTTGTGACAAGGCAGACCGGGCAGTCATGATATTGGAAAGCCACCCAGACTGTGATTGCACACTGTCAATCAGGGGATGATTAGCTAGTTGTGGTTGTACTCACGTTGGGTCTCAGGCTCGCTGCTTGTCCGTAATACTTCTCGGCTGCCTCGTTTAGGCTGGCTTGTCTGCGAAGGGAAAACAGAGAGAGGCGGTCATTACTCATCTTTATTGCTCCTGGCTTCGGATGAGGCCTTGAACCCCGGCATGTTTACTGGCACTCATGGGTCACTGAGAAAATAACAGGAGGGAAGAGCGTGAGGAATTGGAAAAGCCGATCCAATCGACTATAGGTTTCTCGAACGATAGCATCTTTCACTTGATAACATCTGTGCTGAAGAGTGCACAGCCAGCACTTTCTGATTTAATTGGAACTTGAGGTCAGGACATTTGGCTTAATGGGTACTTGAAGAAAACTCATCAACAAACCAAGGCTGGTTTGAGATTTGACTTGCTGGATGGATGCTGTGACTCTAAAGGAAGGCAAACAGCGTGCGAACACAAAGTCATTTAATCAAATTACAATAACAACTAGGACAACAGAGTAGATAGAGCAGATGCACCAAAATGTGCTGCATATGCCACACTGCGACAAAAAGGTATTATAGACAGATGGCTTATCGGCATGAGTCCCTGGAACCAGAAATATATCGTTCACGAGGACATAAAACCTGCAGTCAAGACAGGATGTCCTATATTATGCTTTTTATCTTCCTTCATAATCCCCTGCTCGGCCTACTGTTATACAAAAACCTGTAGCTCCTCTGTCAAAACAAGGCCTTTCCTGTGTTTAATACTTTGTTATCTCAGACATCACCTTTATGGTCTACAGTACATCTGCATGCTTCTCACTGATGGTAACAATTGCAAACTATTTAACTCTGACAAAGTCAAGGACAGAGTCAACAGCGGCTGGCTGTGGAGCCCCTTAAGTCGTAATGATCAAAGGAAGCCAGGCTGTTGGAAACGCAGTTTCATTTAGGCTGTCGCGGTCTATTAAGGGATCATCATCCATATGGCTCCAGATAAAAGGCAATTTTTTTCTTTAGGATTACAAGACTGGTGGCCTAACTAAACATATAGTATTTATGTTTGGTTCAAAAGAAACCTACTTTTGTGAATTAACGTTTACTTCTACTTATTCTACCTTTTGTTATTCTTCACTGATCAATGAGGAGGCGATTACTCTTTTTCAGTTACATCCAGCATGGTTAGGTTTTTATAGCTTGAATGTAGCCTGGAAACAATTTTTTGGGGTCTTATTTCAAACATATATTTTCAGTCAACCAGGAGTCAAGGGTGACCCTAGAAACAGACATTTAAAACTAATTGCTAAACCAGTAATGGGCATTTATCCTTACCCAAGAAATCAAAGTTATTGGTAAGTGAGGAAAAAAACAAAACCTGAAGTCTAAAGCCATGAACAGCTCTGTATGACTAATGATTCGTTCCAGACAACTCTGAACGTGGACATATCCAACATCTGAAGTCACACAACAGAGGAAGACATCAAACCATTAACTTAAAAGGCAACATAAAGTATATTTGCCTGTATTTAATTTTGTATTACATTTTTTTAAATACGACCATACAGTAATACACGTTCTACATGTGTATAGTCGAAATATGTCAAAAGATGTCGTCAATTGTACGTAGCTGATTAGAGTAAACACTATGTGAAAGTTATCTTCTCTGCACAAAATGTATTGGGGAAAATGTTATGTCAAAGTCCCAAAAAGTTTGATTGTGTGTACAGTTGCCAATAAACATCAGTTTGACATGGTCATTTTGCGTCTTGCAGTTGAAAAGCTTGGAGGTTTAAAGTTAGACATTTCAAATGGGAAAAACTTAGACCTCCAAGTTTTCTGGAACAACATCAGGGACAACAACATGCTAACATGCTCAAAAGGAAATGCTAACATGCTGTTTTTTTTAGCAGGTATACTATTTACCAGGTTTGCCATCTATAGGCAGTGTGTTGCATGCTAAGCCTAGCTACTTAGCGCTAAATAAAAAGCTCAGTTGAGACTGATTTAAGGTTTTTTTTGTTGAAACAGTTCACTCAAAACCACATAACATCAATGTGGGACCTAAATCAGGAGCCCACCAAAGCCAATAGGATTCAGCAGTTATTTATCTTATAGTTGTTTCGATATTTCAGTCTGTGACCTAAGTGGTGGACCAACCAACACTGCCATAGTCCGAGCATTATGTATTTATTTCAACAAGGACCATGCATACAAATACATTAATCTCAGAAAAGGGAAGATTTGAATGTGCATATATTACTATTATGTCATGCTGTCATGACTAAAACACAATTTATTTTGTGTAATTTAGATCCTTAAGGACTTATCCTATATGGAATCATGTTGCATACTTCAGAAAAACAATAAGAAAATGCCACTGCTGTTTAATTACATAAGTACAACTGAATTCTTCCTGATCTATTCCAAGAAAAAAAATTTACATTCCAAAGGCGACCCTGACACAGACTTGAGTTTCTGAATTTGTCCTAAAATTATAAATGGTGGCTCCACATCCAACCACAACTGTATGCTTGCCAGCATAATATTTAGAAAGCATAATCTTCAGAGTAGAAAAAAAAGCAAAAATCTAATAATATAATATAATTATCACATTTGTAAACATCATCAGAGGAGAACTGGAGAGCTGCCACAGAAGAGGCAGCGCGACCTCATACTGCTGTCTGACTGCGGGTTCTGTGAGGGCAGAAGACAAAGGAGGCCAAGTATGTAAACCACTGCTTCATTTGAAACCCGAAGAACAGTCAGTGTAAGGCTCCAAGAGCACAAGAATCAAGAAAAGGACGGGAAAATGGAGTAGGAATGAAAAAAACAAATCTCCCAGGAAAAAATTCTCCAGCATTTTTCAAATCAGCAACTCAACCGCTGATCTTTTTACCCTGACATCTTGTTGTCTGGATGGTTCATAAACCCCAGACAGGGACAAATCACAGCACTGACAGTATTGCTCATAAGCGTGACATTGTTGGATACTAATGACTGAATGAACAAATTGCGTTTTCAGCAACAGCCAGAAACCACAGCCGTCCCATCTGTCTCCAGCACAGAAGAACATTTATTTCTGGGTAAGCATGCTACACTAAACACAGAAATCTTCCCTAAGGGTTGTACTGTATGTGCAGTAAATCTAATGTAACCTGTTACCAATAAACCCCTCCTATTACCATTATAGGTTAACAATTTAAACCAATTTATTTGATTTTGGAATAAGAACAGCCAACTATGCACAAATTGGCATACCTAACATCATGACATGTTAGTAATACACAAAGTATTATGTTATTGTATAAGACACATGGTTTGAATATTAATCTGTGAGGTGAACTATGAGTGTTTCCTTAAGGGATTCATTTTCCCCTCGCTCTCTGTGAATATGCAGAATTAACATCTTTACTGCATAATGTTTCAATGTAATTTTTTGGCTTTGAATTAGATTTTTTGTCAAGAGGCACATTTTTCAAAGAAGGCAGAAGATAATTATTAGTTGGGAAACAAAACTGACAAAAAAAACAAGGGCCCAGTGGGGCAATAAAAGACATTTGCCTGTCTGAGTGTCTGGCCCTCCTTTTAATCTCTTCCTTTCCCCCGTGTAGATTCACTTGTATCCTCACCAACCGAGGGCCTTTCCACGTTAGCGTCCAAGACAAACACATAAAGAACATGAGCTGTGGAGAAGTGGGACCCCATGCCAAGCAGGCGGAGAACAGTTCAGCGGAGCACAGCTTGAAGCTCTTTTTAGCTGCCAGGGGTCCAGACCCTGGAAGAGACTCTCAATGCTGAAAGCTGCTGGTGGTGAAGATCTAGCGTGATGGGACTGGTGTGGTGAAGAGCAATAAAGCAGCTGGGTCTTACATAGGTTCTATGAAAGTCTTACATAGAGCTATGGAGCAACGTTCTGCTATAGAGTAATGCAGTTCCAAACTTTGGTGACTCAGGACATGAATGAAGGGTCTTTCATGAACAGTTAGACATCTTAGAGCATGGGGCAATATTGCTGCAGTCAGAAACTCTAGATTTAACTGACTTGGAATTACAGAGCCAATAAAAGGCTAACGAAAGCAGTTTTTCTGACTTGGTTGCTTGTAATTTCTTCCCAAAAACCTGTATAACACATTACAGGAAAGGGAAACCCCACAAATCATAATACAGCCCCTTTTTAATTCTCTATGTGTAATCAATTTGACTGCCTTTTGGTACAATGTCCTCTCATCCTCTACGAAACAGAGAAACGTCCCATGTTGCAGTATTGACAAGTCTCTCTGACCAATCAGTGCTCTGCAGTGTTTTGATTCTACCTTCTAGTGTTGATTTAGCTCGCTTCGAACAGGAAGTACCACAAAAAGCACCAGGTATAGCCACAACTGTTTCTAATGAAAAACCAAAAGATTTGAGTGAAGTAGAGCTGAGCCGTACCATGCAGTAGAAATGCGGTTTAAGCTAACCGGCCCCTGGCTTTGGCTTCATGAGAATGGTATCTAGTTTCTTCCCCTAACTCTCAGCAAGAACGAAAGTTAAAAGAACTGCTCTTGATGTGTTTTAAAAAGGGAATCTCTAAACTTTGGTAGGTTTATTCAGTCAGTGGGGCAGCATACTGTAAGCTGGCACATGACAGTATTTACACATTTCCAATCATGGCTTGAGTTCAGAAACACAACAGCTTGTGGGCTGCTAAAGATTTAGCGCTCAAGCTCATCATCTGAACCTTGCACTAATTCGGAAACAGACTTTCAAGTATGAGCCAGGACAGGCAGAGAGAGAGAGAGAGAGAGGGTTATAGAGAGAGCATATGAAGACCCATAGCTGCACAGCACGCAAAGGCAAACCAGCAGCTCTCAGGCTGGCAGTGCAGCAAGAAAAGAGGATTACAAAGTACAGCCAAGTAAATCACACTGGCTGTGGAGTAGTGTAAGCCCTGGATAAACCGTGCAGACAGTAGACCTCCCTCTCTCATACAGTACACAGCCTCCTTTCTACTCAGCCGTGGAAAACCAAGGCCCACCCATCTCTTCCTTGAATTATATACATACTGTGTCTCTGTGTCTGTGCAGGATCCTAACAGAAAGTAATTCCCATCAAACACTCACCTGAGCATATGGGCCGCACTGAAGACCACATCAAACTCCCCGCTGTCCAGGCGCGCGGCTTTCTCTGCCATCTCCGCCGCTTCCAGGAGCCGAGACTCTTCCAACAAAAACTGACCTGGCAGGGCAGGAGAGAGAACGGCAGCGCTGTTAAAACACTGAGGGATCCCCACATAGGCTCAGAGGGATACACAGTCTGCCAGTGTTGCCTTTGGCCCTAAGAGAGGGACAGCCTGGTCTGCTCCTGAAATAATACGCTGAAACACAAGATATGAGAGCAACACACCACCGCTCTGTGGCCATCTCTCAGACCCATTTGTTCAGACTAACCAACCTTGATGGATCTGTTTCCTTAAGATGGAAATGTTCCTCGCGGAAGGTTTCGCGTCTTATTACGGGTGCGGCTAGAGTTGGAGTTGTTGGAGCCTGACAAGGCCGTGAACCGAAGGTGGACCCCTTGGTAAGGGCCAGGTTTAAAGAGGAATTAATACCCTGTTGACTTAGCTTAGCCCCACTACTGTACCAAGATGCTAAACCACTATGTGAACCTTAGCATATTTTCCTTAATAACCGTGGATGAAATTGAAGCCGTGAGTCCAGGCCTGAGGTGAGGAACAGATGTAAAGGGAGACTTAGTGTAAAACAGCTCCAGGTTACAAACACCTCCACTGTTATGGAGGTTTATGATCAATCAAAGCACAGCTACGGGTAATAAAGGAAAGATGGTCTCTGCATCAATAAATGGCAGTGTCATGCTATATTCCTTTAATACATTCAAAGTTGTGTATGCAGTCTTTTATCATGTAAATGTCACAGTGTGACTTTTTAAGAGTATTGCAAGATCTATCTTTGTAGAAGAACCAGTTCCAGGTATGTGGGAAACTTGAGCTTTGACTTGTTTAGTTTGTTTCTGGTCAATTACATAAAAAACGAGTGTTAAAATAGTTAAATTACACATTTCCAACACTACATAAATGGCTAAATAGGCTAGCAAATGTAATTCCAATTTTTGTTCACATCAAAATTGATTTACAATATTAATCGATTTTCTTTCTAAACAAGAAACTTTGCCTACAGAACAAAAATACATGATTAACTTTCAACAACTTTACTTATTTCAATATAAACTAATAATGCCTCTGGAGAAAATGTATTGTCTACTATTTTACTTTTATACGTTTTACTATTAACTACTGTATGTGGATCAAGATGTGCAACTCGATTTTGACAGAATAACAACTGGTGACTTCTAGAATTGTGTGAGTAACATTCTGTTTTTAGACTTCTCTGTTTCAGTGTGTGTACTCTGTATAAATGCTCTGTAGTTGATCTGACTGAAATTGTGATTTTAAATCTCATATCCCTTCAAACCTCCTTCAAACTATCGCTCCTGATATTCTACCGTTTCTCACCCATTTCATCAACACTTCTCTAACTTCTGGTCACTTTCCAAACAGTCTCAAGGAGGCAAGAGTAAACCCTCTCCTAAAGAAACCCACTCTCAACCCATCTGATGTTATAAACTACAGGCCTGTCTCTCTCCTCCCGTTCCTGTCTAAAACACTTGAACGCGCTGTCTTTAAAAAACTCTCCTGTTATCTCCATCAGAACAACCTTCTGGATCCGCACCAGTCTGGTTTCAAGGCAGGTCACTCAACAGAAACTGCCCTCCTTGCTGTCATTGAGGAACTGCACACTGCTAAAGCAGCATCCCTCTCCTCTGTCATCATCCTTTTGGACCTGTCTGCTGCATTCGATACAGTGAATCATCAGATCCTCCTTCGCACTTTCCAAGAACTTGGAGTTTCAGGCTCTGCACTTTCCCTCCTCACCTCATACCTCAAAGACCGCACCTACAGGGTAACTTGGAGAGGGTCCGAGTCCGACCCTTGTCAATTAACTACAGGGGTCCCTTAGGGCTCTGTTCTTGGTCCACTCCTCTTCTCCTTGTACACAAACTCGCTCGGGTCTGTCATTAGCCCGCATGGTTTTTCATACCACTGCTACGCTGACGACACCCAACTAATTCTGTCCTTTCCCCGCTCAGAGACCCAGGTCGTCGCACGCATCTCTGCTTGTCTAGCTGACATCTCTCAGTGGATGTCTGCTCACCACCTCAAGCTCAACCTTGACAAGACTGAACTGCTTTTCCTTCCGGGAAAAGATTGTCCCACTCTTGACCTAACAATCAACATCGGCACCTCTGTTGTTCCCCGACTCAGACTGCAAGGATCTAGGTGTGACCCTAGATAACAAACTGTCCTTCACTGACAAACATAGCTGCTACAACCCGCTGCTGCAGATACACGCTTTACAACATCAGGAGGATACGTCCCCAGCTGACCCAGAAACAGCGCAGGTTCTGGTCCAGGCTCTCGTCATCTCACGCCTAGACTACTGCAACTCCCTCCTGGCTGGTCTACCTGCATGTGCCATCCGACCTCTGCAGCTCATCCAGAATGCAGCGGCTCGTTTGGTCTTCAACCTTCCTAAATTCTTCCACACCACGCCGCTCCTCCGCTCCCTTCACTGGCTTCCAGTAACTGCTAGAATCCACTTCAAGACAATGGTACTTGCGTACCATGCTGCGAATGGATCTGGCCCTTCCTACATCCAGGACATGGTTAAACCGTACACCCCAGCACGTGCACTCCGCTCTGCATCAGCCAAACAGCTCGCTGCACCCTCACTGCAAGGGGGACCCAAGTTCCCATCAGCAAAAACACGTGGGTTTGCTATCCTGGCTCCAAAATGGTGGAATGAGCTCCCCATTGACATCAGGACAGCAGAAAGCTTACACATCTTCCGGCGCAGACTGAAAACTCATCTCTTTCGACTCCACTTCGAGCGATAGAACTATTAACAGAGCACTTGTATACTAATAAAGGACTGGCTTATCTAAAGCCAGTTGAGTAGCACTTGAAATGTTTTAGCTCTATGAAACCTGATGTACTTATATGATTCTGTTTTCTTCAAGTTTGTACTTTGTTGGTCGAACGCACTTATTGTAAGTCGCTTTGGATAAAAGCGTCAGCTAAATGCAATGTAATGTAAAAAGATCATAGAGGTTGTGGTTGTTCTGTTTACCTTAGTTAAACTAAAAATGTGATTTTCATTTTAAAAAATTGTCCGTAACCATTCATTCAAAAATAACTGACAATTGATTGGCCAGCTCTAATGGTAAACATCCTTTTTTCGTGTTTTTATTGTGCTACACTGTTTAATGTATAAAGCTGTAAACCACTAGCACCCAGCTCGCAGTAAAACATTTTGTGAAAGATACTCCTTGAGCCTCAGCCAAGAGGAAATGTCCATCTACAGTATATCCTGTTCTTTGCCTCTGCAATGACACTTTGTTTATGTGGATCAATACAAATCCTCTAATTTTCGTTCTTAACCTTTAAAGCTGACAACTTATACACGTTTACGAAAATGCAAAAACCCACCAATAATCCGGTGCATTGATGTCGAGCTGACACATCACTTCATCATAGACAGGTTAGGTTTAAAAGACTTTAAAATGAAGGAAGTATTTAACTTATCAGCTCATTCCAACACAACCTCACTGTGGCAGTGATTGGATCTGAAAGGTTACAGTGCCATGAGTTACATGTAAATAATGGAAGACAATAGAGACGCCGTAATTGTCACGATCTTCATTTGTTTCTATCCTCCACCTGACACTGTAGCTGATTATGGGAAGGTGTATCACACACCACTGTTGAACAACAACAAGCCAAGGTGTGGAAGTTCCTGCCTTTGTGCTCACACGTGCAGCGTGTATGTGTTGATTTGAAGAATATAATATTTGAGAATGTAAGAATAATGGCAGGATATGTCAAATCAAAGTAGTAAAAATGAATCTGTGCTTACCATAATGCATGTAGCAGTTGCCTTTTGTGGGATCGAGTTGGATGGCCTTCAGGAAGTACCTCTCCGCTTCTGTTTTCTGGCCCTGAGAGAGACGGATTAAACACTGTCATTATTTTTTCAACTGCTCCTCAAAACTACTCATTATAAAAATACCGCAAGAACTCAACAGCCAAAATACCTTTGTGTATACCCAATGTCCCTCTCCAAACCACAGACCTACTTTAACAATATATATTAATAAATTAACACGTAACACATCGACCGCGAGTGTTATTCTTTTAAGCTCATGTGTCCTCCTGTCAGAGTACACACTGTCATGCTTGGCACAGCAGACCAAGCGGGTCAAAGGCTTGTTCATTACACACTTTTATCTGTGCAAATTACACTTCCAGAGGATAACCACAGCCTGCCAGTGTGTGTGGCCTGGCTGCTGTGAAACAAGACTGAGGTCAGCGGGTGGAATCGAAGTGAGAGGGTGGAAAAGAGAGGAGAGGGACTACAACGGTGAAGGCTGTCATACATCTATAGGGATCTTTAGGTTCACACAAACACAGAGCTGGAGGGCACACACAGAGGTTTTTAATCTGTGTGTTGTTCCAGGCTTTTGAGAGATGGACAAATCCATTCTCTGAGGGTAAGCATCACTGAAGCCCTGTGGACTTTCTGAATTCCCTCAGCTCCTTTAGACTGTGACACGTAACCAATCACAGCTCAAAGTGAACACTGCAGCTGGCCAATAGTGTGCCAGCTGGGACTTGGACACGTCCCTGCTCTCCGATGGGCCCCAGATGCCATCTGATCAACAATTAACAATGTGTACTCATCTGTAAAGCCTGATGTGTGTTAGCATTAACTATGCAGTCATTAGTGTGCGTTTCACTAACATATTTACCTCTGCATGAATAAAACATAAATTATTAAATTGGAGTTGTGCCAAGTCTATAAAGGCTTTAGGTTAAAACAAAATCATCAGATATGATAGTTGTGGATATTACTAGCTGAACAACAGAAATGTTTTCGTGGCTTCAAATTGAAATTATGAGACCTATAATATGGCTTTACTTTTATTCAACGACTGGAAGTCAAATGTAAACATTATTTTAGAAATGGAAAATAAAAATCTATGAAAATAAAAATCTATGGAATTAGAAATTAAGACAAATAATATTTGAAACAGTGGAATACTTTGATTGGAAATAAGGCTCAAAATGAAATGTTATTGAAAGATGTATATGCAATTGGGTTTGTGTTTAGCTATGTACTGATACAGTATGTATGTATTTGTATATGTTTCTAAGAAGGATTAAATATATATGGTATGTGTCTATATATATATGTGCACCATCAAACTAGCCTAGTTTATTTGCTGAATTATTCTCTATATATTTTACGTTATACGTATATTATATGTATGAACAAACCCATACAGTATCTAAGCAAAGGTATATTCATTTTAAACCCTAGATAAATATAAAAGATGAATTAGAATTAAATAAATATTGCATTAAACAGAAAAAATAAGGTATATAAACCCTGGGAAATACAGCAAATTGCTTCAGTTTAGTCAAACAGAAGAGTGGGCTCCAATCCAATCAGTACAGTGTAACATTAATGACATATACTTAGTCAAGTGTATAGATTTTCAGTGAGCTGTACATTCAATAAATACATCATTTTCTAATGTAAATATCTGAGTGGAGTATCCCGTTGAAAACCATCCCATAGCTAAGTACATGTTTCGTGGAGTCTATAGTGTCCAAGTAGCGATCCCGGTTCCAGTCTTCAAAGAATCCTCTCTGTGTATTTTTATACTCTTATTCACAGATGTAGGAATGTGTATGTTTGAGGGCCAGCTGGTTTTATAATAACAGACCCATGTCTGTTTGTTAAACCTCAGAATTAAGTTTTCACACACTAAATTGAGTTGCACTTGTGAGTGGATGGAGGATTTACATTATGACACGTCTAAGTACTTAAATGGATACTGTACCATGCCCAGAGTAAGATATATAGCAGCGAGGGAAAAAAAGGGAACATGTTTCTGATTTCTCATCTTAAAATAAATGTTATTACAGCTCTTATTAATCCCTTGAGAGGATATTTGTAACACCACTTGTTATATTACTTTAATGTTGAACCCTTTAAACAGCCAACTCCATTCTCTTTTACCTTTATCAAAATGATATAAAGCAACAATCTCTGATGCTCAATTTTCTATCTCTTTTCTCTGGAAAGTCAACCACGGAAGTATTATCAAATTAAAATGAGTTACCTACTTCTCCACTTTTCTGCGGAGATATTACCAACAATTCTAAGGCAAGGAAGAAATAAAGGATCTTGTCTTAAGCCGATGTGTAGCATCTGCCTCGCAAACTCACAGTTGATAAGTACAATATGTATTAAATAGGTTAAGAATCATGGGTCAGATCTTTAAGCGGCTAGGTCTACAGCCATGTGTGCAGCTCTTTGTCAGAGTCATGCTTTGAGCTAAATGCTAATGTCATCATGCTGCTAACCTAAGGAGACAATTATTTATATTACGCCTCTTGTAGCACTTTGGGATTGCTTTTAGCAATGAAAGGTGCTTTATTAATACAATATGTATTATTATTATTATTATTATTAATCCTTACAGGTAAAACATGTATTGGCACTAAACACAGAGTACAGCCCAACACTTATACGTGCTTTATTAAGACAGCTAATAGGCTTTTTAGAATCCCCTGACAATTCAAATATAATATTTTTTCTGGGATTAGGGACAATGAAAGTGAACTCAGTCAAGTGTTAGACGCATTATCACGGTAAAGGCTAATTTAGTTTGTTTGCAGGAAAGGATATTTCCCCTCAAAGTGGAACCTGTGCTAAAAAAGTAACAACTGTATGCGACCTCAGGGCTAATAAAAGGCACACAGTTGTATTTCTAAGAAGAGAATCAATGGAACCCACAGCCAGCCTGTTTGCTGTCACTTCCTTTCCCCATTTCTTTACATGACAACACTCCCTCTTTGTTGAATTGAAAGCACCTTGGGTCCACTAGCTTGACGAGGGGGGCGGAAAACACAACAATAATAAAGGAAGTCAATAACAAAATGCCAACTACCGTTCAAACCACAATTTCCATTAACTCCTCATTCATGTCAGCTCTGTGTGAATACAATATCCTCCGTTTTGTCACACACATGCTGAGTTTATTGGTGCGTGCCTCACACCTCAAATCTCCTGATACCATCTGATAAACTGCAGATGTAGCTCTGGCTCCGCGGATGAAGAGGTGATTATGAATGGAGCCTGTACTGTATTAGCTGAGGAAATGACAAGTAGATGACTGAATCCAATGGGGCGGCCGTGTCCATCTCTGACCTGCAATGTGAAGGCTACAGAGGGCAGAATCCCATCCTGATCCCCTGGCGTGTCAGCGGAGGTGCAGAGGGGTCAGCGTAATGGGGAGGATGATACCGATCTGGGTTATTAACTCTCCCTTCCTCCCCTATTTTGTCCTCCCCTATTCCACAAATCATTCTGTGCTCCTCAGCTACAATCTCAGCTAGCTCCAGTGTCCCCCTCTCACCCCTCTTTGACCCTGCTGCCAAGCCTTATCTCGCGGTCTCTCTACCTCCCCCCGCAGGGATCTGAACCTCCAAACCCCTGACAGTATCGCAACCGTCTTCATAACTCACAGGGGTGCCAGAGGGAGTGCGGAAGTAGGGGATGAAAGAAGCAGGGGGCTGGTTGGCAGGTCAACTTCCTGCGCTGGTTTTGATCACACTTAAATGCTGTTGTCATAAGGCACAGAGCCCATAGCTAACACAGAGAGAGAATACATTACATGGTACCCAAGGGGCAACCTACAGGCCTGAAAGCAGTAGTGCCTTTAACTTGTATTTTTTTATCTTTTGTATTTACAAAAATAACAGTCCCAATTTTTTGAAGCCTATGAGAAAAAAATATGTAATGCTAAACATATTTCTAATGAGTTAATGGACTCAATTGCTAGTCACATTCATATTTATTTTTGTAAATTTCTCTCCGATTTTGAGTATAATGGACGCTTTCAGTGGGTGGCTACATCATAAGTGTCAACATTGGGTACCATGATATTTTTTGTCTTAACATTTTTAGGTTCAAATGTATTTTTTCAGTTAATGATTGTTCCATTTAACGTATCTGTTTTTTGGAGCATTCAGTACTTACTTCTGATGTGTGAATCCAAAATAAACAAGAGGGCAACAGTTAAAAACCAAGAAGTAGACGTTTAAAAAAACAGATGGAAGAGGCCAAAAGAACTATTTCTAGGCTACAAAAGAGTAGTCCAAAAACCAAATGGTAAAGTTACTATGAAAATACCTTTACTTAAAGTGGACCTATCATGCTATATTTGACAAATATATTGTTAGGGCCACAACGTTTTTTTTTCTTCAAAATACCAAACAGATCCTGCATTTTAGCCATGCCTCATTTCGCTCTATTTGCTCTTTCCAGCTCTGTTTTTGCAAGGGCTGATTCTGTGACGTAGCTTTAATGCAAATGACCACGCCCCCCTGCAGGAGAGGGGAGCGTGCTCTGATCAGCTGCTGGGTTCTCAGAAGAGGGGGAGAAAAAGAGAGGCTCCGTCCTCCGTGTTTTATTCTTATATGATTATATAGAGTCGTTATTCATTTGTTTTAAAGCTCAATAAATAACAAAGAAGACCTTTGACCGGCACTTTTCTAATTTTGTCCGGAAGATTTAAACTTTAACGGACATGTTGACCGGCAAAAAACCTTTTTAACTGAAACTCTGCCGCACGGTCCCCTCGTCCCTTGGAAGAGGCAGAGAGGTGGGTGGGTGTTTGTCATCTAATGTGGAAGTTCCCTCCTTTGAAGGCTTTATTTGCACTCGGAATCACAGGGGTTCAAAACCCTCTACCATCCATCATGGTCAGAGATCTTCAGGGATTCATCCATGCAGCTTTGAGCTCTACTTTCCTCCAAAATCAATAATATGTTCATAAATAAAATGAGTTTCTCTTCAAGGCCCACTGAATTCTTACCTGAATCCACTTCACCAAGTCTTAACATTCCCCTCAAGAATTGTGTTATTCCCGTGGACTCTTATTGCTGACAGCATTCGGTTTTTATGATATCCAATGTGCAGATAGAATTTCAGCTTGGTGACTTTTATCTGTGTTGTTAGCTGGAAATATTCTTTAAGCTGATCATCAGTCTGACTCCGGATATAAAAATCAATCTCGTATGGAGCTGAAGCTCAATTTAATTTATACTGTACACATATCCAACATTAACTTTACAGAGGATACGCTACGTCTTGAGCCACAAATGTACGGTATATCCTTTTCTGTTAGCTTTGGAATTAGCAAGGCCAGCTGTTTCCAGCTGTAATAATGCTATCCTACGCAAACTGTGTCGCTGCTCCAGATTATTATTCATCCTACAGATATAGGGGTTGGGTTAATCTTCTAATCTGAGTTCCCATGTTATGTGACAGATGTTATTAAGCCGAGCAAATGAACAGTCTGGCAAATGATTGAAACATTTTTGCACTTTGGTTTTTGTACACTTGAACTGCTGTGAGCGTTAGAAATGCGGGCTGATTGATCTTTTAATGTTGTAATGTTATAATGATGTTTTCAAAGGGGAAATAAAAAGGGATGGGAAGATTTTAGCCTTTGTGAGGACATCCAGATGACTCTGCTGTAGGCTAGTAAACACATTTACATTATTCCATTAGGACCCATACTGTGGGAGGGAGAGGTGAAGGCCTCCACCCCTTTTCTGACCTTCTGCGCAACTCTTCTTCTTATTTGTTTATTTTTCTCCTGACCATCCCTTTCAGCTCTATAATTGTTCCGCTTGGTCAGCTCTACTCCAAATATTATCTCGCAACGATCTGTAACGGATGCCTGCATGACCCGACCATATGACCATCTCCTCTTAAACCCTGAGTCATTGGAAACGGCTTCTACCTCTGAGACCTTTCCAAATTAACAGCATTTTCTTCGGTCATTGGGACACAGGTCAGCTGTGTGACCCTAAGAGGATATTATCTGTCCTGGGAAATGCTGGGCAGATGTCCATTTCTTTCTTTACACCTTTCACAGATTTGAATTCTCTATTTTGCAGAGCAACACTGAAAGTTTGCCGAATGCCAGATATCCATTTTGCTGTTGGTTCAAAGTTGTGCATGCAGCTTTTCTTTAGCTCTCTTTTAAGACCTAGTAACTTGAACCAAAGAAGGAGCAAAAAAGGGGAAGGTTTTTAATCCAAAAGTCCTCCCTATTGCAGACGAGCAACTTGAGAAACACATCATGAAGACCTTCCGTCGTTGTTCACAATGCTCACTCTCTTCCAATCTTTTCCCTCTTTCTCAGCAGCACACTATTGATTAACTGTAGAGACTTCAGGAGGACATTACGACCACCAGTGAAGAGCTGGAGAGAGCTGAGGAAAGGCCAGGGGAGATGAAAAAGAGTGTAATAATAAGGAGAGGAAACATAACTGGGAGAGGTAGGGAATGAGAACTGGTCCAGGAAAACAAAATTCAGACCTAACAGTTGAAGTGCAGGAATATCAATGGATTCAAATTGTTAAGGATTTAAAAAAAATATGGTCTTACAAAATAAAATAGTCTTGCCATAGCTTTGTGTTGTGAAAGAAAAAGGATATCTTTTTAGTGGGCGGCTACAGTAAAAGTTTTTTCTTATTTGTCATAAAACACTTTAAAAAAACGATTTGAACACACTATAGTGTATTATGTTAACTTGCAATCTATTCTTAATCACAAAGTAAAAAATGTTTTTGTCCAAAGACCACATTTACCTTCAGATTTGGTAGGGATTACCACTGATGTAGCAATTTTTAGAGAACCTTTATAGATAAATGTAAAAGTGTAAAATAAGTATGGCTGGTTTGAAGCCTTGTTCCAAAAAAAGGAGGAAAACAAGAATATGATTATGAAATATTAAAGTTGAAATGGGTGAAATTTGACCAAACTCAATAGGAGGGTTAAAGAACATAACACACAATCGAAATCTTACCGTCATAGCCAGGAGTTTTCCGTAGGTGAGGTGTGCAGGAATGTGGTCTGGCTTGGCTCGCAGGGACTCTCTGTACCAGTGCTCAGCATCAGTCAGCTTGTTCAGTCTGATGTAGGCCTCTCCTGTGAGAGCAGAGCGAGGGTCGAGTCAGGGGTCAGGCAGTCAGAGGTTAGGACATCTCACATCTCACATCTTCCCATTGTTCAGCGTTCAGATAGATAGGACCTAAACCAGCCTAAAGCAGTTCCCTGTATGCCAACTAAGTGCTCTAGTCTTTGCAATAGGATATCATGGTCGATAGTATCAAATGCAGCACTAAGATCGAGCAAGACAAGAATAGAGACAAGTCCCTTGTCTGAGGCTATTAGAATGTCATTTGTGACTTTAACCAGAGCTGTCTCTGTGCTATGTTGTGTTCTAAAGCCTCATCTATCACATGTGCTGTTGTTTCTACACGGACCACTATTGCGGTATGCATGTTGTAACTTCCGGTTGTTGTTGTCATCTCCGGGTATCACGTGTGCCTGTTCTGTTGCTGATAGCTTATTATCTTAACTTAATCGATCGTTTTAAAACTCTTGATCACGGCAACTGCCTGACGTTGTAATCACACGTTACTACAGCTTAAGCACTCACAAACTCTCCTTCTCTTAGCGACTGTAACTCCACAGTTGCCTACACTCTTTTCGGGTTTGCTAACGGTAGCTACTTTAGCTTGATAGCTAGCCATGGCTCTTTCCCCACCCTCGGGTGCTATTTCCTGCTCTAACTGTCTCATGTTTGGTTACTTCCCTACCTCCTTTACTGGTACCGATACATGTGTTAAATGTAGTATAGTTGTTAGGTTGGAGGCGGGAATCATAGCCATAGAAGCCCGGCTCCGCGTCTTAGAAAATAACTCAGCTACAGTAAAGCCCATGTTAGCCGGTGCGGACCGGCAAAAGCTAGCTCCTCTTAGCCGTCCCCCGGCAACTCCCGAGCAGCAGGGAGATTGGGTGACTGTTCAGAAGGGGCATAACGCGAAACCCGCAGGTCCCCACCAACCCGTTCACGTATCTAACAGATATTCCCCACTCAGCGAGAGACCCGCTGAGAAGCCAACTCTGGTTATTGGTAGCTCTATTATGAGACACGTGAATTTAGAGACCGAAGCGTCCACAGTCACATGCATTCCGGGGGCCAGAGCGGGCGACGTTGAGGCGCATCTTAAACTGCTGGCTAAAAATAAACGTAAATACGGTAGGATTGTTATTCACGTCGGTGGTAATGATGTTCGTTTACGCCAATCAGAATGCACCAAAGTTAAAGGGGACCTATCATGCAAAATGCACTTTTGTACTTCTTTTATACATGAATATGTGTCCCCGGTGTTCCAAGGAACTCACCAAGTGTCAGTAAACACAACCCTCTCTATTTTCCTCCATACCCAAATCTCTAAAAACGGGGCTGCAACGGA